GAAACTCCCTTGAAATATTGTTTCCGTTTGTAATACCGGTACATTCGTGGGTATTTATTGACCTGCTGGAAAACATAAACCACCTTGCATGGGATAATGTACAAAATGCTACACGGTGTAGTTATAACCAATACTACATGTGGGGAAGTAGTCAGCTATTGATCAGCTTGATGTGATTGCATTGTTATTTTTTTGTTTTGCAGTAGTTTCAAATCAGCAGCGTCTTTACAAAGGATTGTTAAATTTTGATACAACAACAAGTGTGTTGTAATAACTAATACAAGTTGTACCATTCTTGTTAAAGAGACAATGTGAACAACGTGTGGAGTATTTTTTTGAGATTGTATAGTATTGTACAAGAAACAATACAATTTATCTTCAAATGTTTTAGCAGCAAACATGGAAGTGTTCATTAAATGAAACACTGAGGAGCAATGCACATGCGTCCTGAATTTACCCGGTTATTTTTATGTTGGGATAAATCAGAAGATTCAATTTCAAACAAAGTTATTTTTAAAATACTCGGTTATCCACATTGCGTCTTCAGTACCATCAACTACATGTAATGCAAACATTATTGAACCTCCACATTCATGTGGTAGAGTGTACATGGTTTACAAATGTGTTGTGTATGCTACTATTTCACTGTATGCTTATTAAAATATTTGACACAAATAGAGTATAAGCCATGTATTTTCTCTATTCTCAGGGAAGACATCAGACATTTTCACCACCTGACAACAGTTACTGTTGATAACAAAAGCCAAAAACACTTGAAGAATGGTACTTTGATCTAGTAGTTGACTCTTCTGAACAGCATTACCTCAAAATTAAGTTTGTGCTGTTTTCATTACCACAACAGTTTGCACAGAGCCCATAAAAATGCATTGTAGAGTGGTGAGTGTCCAAACAACGTAGAACCATCTGTGATGTAGCCTTGCCCTGGTACTGAATGTCTTTTTGACTGATTTGACTACAATCACCAAAATGGTAGCATTTAGGATTTCTTCATCAAATATACTCTACAGCTATGGTTTCATTACAAGGACCACAATGAATTTTAACCCACTGTCAGTGATAGGCCTCTCAAAATTGGTGACTGATTTGACATTTTGCCCAGGGCCCCTGGTTAAGTTGTCATTCGGTACAAGGTTTCCTTGACAAAAATGGATTTCATTACACTGCGCCCTCTAGAGACCTGAACACACCCTTGCAAGTGATTTAATGTAAAACATCTATATATAGTGTATAGACAATTCCTTCAGTGACGACCATTACAAATTGGCACTAATGACACAGAAAATGTTTAATTAAAAAAGAGTCTGTATTGTAATTGCTGATTTAATGTAATGTGCAAAAACTGGTTTGTACAGTATGTTGCCAGCCGATTACAGATGAATTAATATGAGGTTATTACAAGGATACCTCAAATTATGCATGAAGACAGTACAGCGAGTCGATGCGGTGGCATACTGTCTGAGTTTATACTTTGAGGTATCCTCATAATAACCTTATTATTATACATCTTTTCCTTCCAAGGATACATCATGAGAATGCCGAAATCCAAAAAGTTTAGAGCAAACTTCTTTGTGTGGAATCTGGTCAAACCCTTGTGGTAGCCGTATTGGTTTTTATTAGAGCATGTTTACGCATGTAATCATTCCATGTTTGGAATTTGCATTTCCTAATAGGGTTGGATGAAAATTATTCGTAAAATACGGCAAGCTGTAACTTATGGCATTCGGTGACAGATATATAATAGATGTTGAACAAATAGGTGAGTTGTAAATCTTATCTACTGGGTCAAGAAATTTTGTAGAAAATCTACAGAAAGTGGTGTCTTCGAGAGGCCAGTTAGTTAGTTAGTCAATTTCCCCATGTTGAGAAAACATGTAGAATGGCTGCATGATTCTTGTATTCTATCATCTGCCATTTGTTTTGCCTCACTAGCAGAGCTGGTTATTCAAACTAAGTGGCAGTGCTCCAGTCTGCTATGTTATAGTTTGGCGACAAACATTCTGACAAGGAAGCTTTATCAATGTTTTTGCAGTCAGATTGTAAGAAAATTACAACCTACATTTGTCTATTTTAGATGATAGTGTGCAGAGTACCG